AGTTGTCAGTCTGCCCCTGCTTCAACCCTTTATCACGAGCACGGAAATTTGCTGCATCACTTTTTTTGGACTGCTTATATCTCAAGATATCTCCAATTGTCATCTAATTTATTGCAATATACTTCCTATTGTCATTAACTGATCGCCATTTTATACATGTCACTAATGTATATATTTGCCACTTGATACACTTTATTGATTATCCATTCACGTTTTTTCTCGTCACTCATTGACGACACTTATGTTACACTTCCCTAGCGCATTATTTTGCGCCTTTTTATGCACTTATCACTTTCTCATCATTTTAAATATTTAGCGCTGCATTTTATTTTTCCATGACCGTTGAAAGGATTGCTTATAACAATAATCATTGTGTAATTATATGTACATTGCAAGTCTCCCATCATCGCTACACCCCAACAGTGACCCCCATCATACCTCCCCTTCATGTATCAAGGCTTCCAGCTGGTGACAAGTGTTCTACACTCAGCAGCTCACCAGTTACATTAAGGCTTGGTTGACACTAATGCACATGGTCAGGTGATTTGACCGTTCCAAACTGCATGCGACGATACCGTTCTAATCGGTGAGACTCCGACTTTGAAGTGGCATTGATTAGAAAAGTAACTCCTGCACTTCCAGTGCCTGATTTTGGGGTGCGACTTGCTTAGACGTGTGCCTGAAAGTCTCACAGATGTCTATGAAGTCGCACTGCCATCCGACTTTGAAATCATGCGACTTCAAGTGAAGTCGGGCTATTTTAAAGTCAGATCCAGTGTGTGGACCATTCATGCCTCGGCTTCCTGGACTGTGGCATAAATGTGCATTAGGTAAACTTTAGGTTTAAAAAAACAAAAAATTGGTGGACAGGATTTTTAATGCACAAGAGACATTTTCTCTCTTTTAAATGAACATGTCTCACCTGCCTGCCCCCCTATAACCTGGGCAATGCTGAGATAAATGCCCGTGCAGTCACTGGAATGACTGCATTGCAGCCTAGCCAATGAAAACGGCCATAGATCGGTACCTGGAAGCAGACTGGCTGAGGATGTCAGCACCTGGTAGGGAGCTCCGGGGACACCGCAGCGCTGGAGAGAAGGAGGACATAGTTCCTCTAATTTAAGGCAAACCCCTTTTAAATGAATGAGCTGGCATGCACCAAAAAATCCAAAAATAGACATGTGATATTTTTGGCACCGCAATTCACTATAATGTACCGGAAAGGGGTACCCTGCTGTAACACATGCTTGGGAGTTGTCTTGGTATATTGCAGTGCATTTTAAAACGAGTTGCACCCCAGCAAGTTAATGCAAGCAGTTGTGTTAAGGCGTGTGCTAGCGCAAACAAGGCACGTGCTAGCGCAACAAGGCGCAAACTGCTTTTACCTCAAGGTGTACATTTTGCCAAACTTTACATTTTGGAGAACAGACTATGGAAGGATTACAACCACTGTCTTGTATTGCGGTTTTCTCACCAACTAGTTGACCCTCTCTATATGTCCTGGTGACCATTGTCACCAAGAAGGAAAGTGATTTGAAATCCAAATTTTAGAGTTGCCCCCAGAATAAAAGGTAAGGGGAAATCTTTCAAATGAAGACAACTGTTCTGGGGACCACTGAGGGGAATTTCACTTTGTACAGATTTCTGCTCACTTCCTGTTGCACCGTCAGAAAACCATTTAAACTTTTCCAGTCTATGGAATGTTCACTTTGCTCCGCACCAAAGGAATCTTTAGATGACACCTTCCAGGGGTTTTGGACACTCAAGTGCCAATGGCTCCTCCAAGTGGCCGTGCATCACTGCGGTCACAAAGTAACACTCATGGCTTCTAGTTCTGAAAGTCTAAAATTGTTCAACTTCAATAGAAGCCAAGACTGAATTTACAATGTACTTGTGTGGCCTGGCTGGCCCCGGGCTCTAGCCGCCCTGCGTGCCGCCTGGCTGGCCCCGGGCTCTAGCCGCCCTGCGTGCCGCCTGGCTGGCCCCGGGCTCTAGCCGCCCTGCGTGCCGCCTGGCTGGCCCCGGGCTCTAGCCGCCCTGCGTGCCGCCTGGCTGGCCCCGGGCTCTAGCCGCCCTGCGTGCCGCCTGGCTGGCCCCGGGCTCTAGCCGCCCTGCGTGCCGCCTGGCTGGCCCCGGGCTCTAGCCGCCCTGCGTGCCGCCTGGCTGGCCCCGGGCTCTAGCCGCCCTGCGTGCCGCCTGGCTGGCCCCGGGCTCTAGCCGCCCTGCGTGCCGCCTGGCTGGCCCCGGGCTCTAGCTAAACTGTGCATAGATACTCTGCTGCCTGGTTATACGGTTGATTTACTATAACTGGAGAGTGCAAAATATGGGGCAGCTGTGCATGGCAGCCAATCAGCTTCTAACTTCAGTTTGTTCAATTAAGCTTTGACAGTAAAACCTGGAAGCTGATTGGTTTCTATGCACAACTGCCAGATTTTTGTACGTTCTGGTTTTAGTAAATCTAAATCAACCCGAGTGTCACGGAATCCTAGGCAGGGATGACGTAAAGCAGACCTACACTGCAACTATGCACTGCAAACCAAAAACACAAATATTTAACCCCTTCCTGAAGCCACCCCAGCCCTTTAAGAGCTTTAAATGCCATGAGGCGGAGTTGAGCGTTTGGGGTCATGCGACTGCTGCAACTGGCTGTCACATGATCGGAAAGTGTGCGTCTGTGCTGGGATTCTATGACAGGTGTACTTTAAATCTGGTCACACAATAGAATAATCTTTAGGTGAGGATCACATCTATGCGTGTTCCTGTGGCTGCATTTGTATGGGCACAGCACCTCATTCTTTTAAAAGAAACGCAGGAAGAGTGTCCCTGACCCTAGTTGTAAAAGCGCATGCCACAGGAAATTATTATTTCAGGTACTTATATAGCGCCATCAATTTTACTCTGTGCTTTACATATATATTGTACATTCACATCAGTCCCTAACCCTCAAGGGGCGTACAATCTAAAGTAAACTACAGTGCATTTGGCACCAAGCGTTTCTGCTGTTCTCATGCACGGGAAACCTCACTGCATTTTCCAATGTGTAGGGATGCCTTTAGGAATTAAAGCAGAATTCCAGGAAAAACAATGTTTCCATGCAGTGGGGCTGTGCCAGCAGAGCACGAGTTAAATGCATGTTTTGTTCTAGGGGAGAGGACACCAAAGATACTCACCTGACCTGCCGATCCTCCCCACAGGCTTATAAATGGACTATTCCTGATATCAGTACGCTCAATGTATACTCCAGACAGGAACAGTCCATCTCTGGACCATAGGGGAGCGCGGTTTCCCATAGGATCGGCGGGTCAGGTGACTATGAGCTTTGTCCTTGCCACTAGAAAAAATGAGCAGCTGATTAAAAAAAAACAAAAAAAAAAAAAAAAAAAAAAAAAAAACTTGGCTGCATTAGTTTTTTTTTTTTTTCTAATTATTTAGGCTATTGACACTAGTGATCTGGCCAGTAAGCCTGTTTTTTTTCAAAAGAACAAGCTGTCCTGCAGATGTAACAGTTAGATGGATGAGAAAAACCATTTAACGCTGACATTAGGCTTACGTTGATCAGTTTTTATGTAAAAACTTATCCTAAAACGAAAAAAAAAAAAAAAGGTTTTCTTTAACTGCTTAAAAAGCATTAACTTGAGTTTGGCTTCACAGGGTTGGTGTATTTAAATCTGCTAGTATATCTCCCCTCTCTCCAGATTGTCAATGCTGCTGTCCAAAGGTACCCCCGCTCTCCTTTATCCACAGTGGGGGCACTCCAATACAGGAGGTGTATTCCTGGCCAGATCACCAGGTGAAAACAAAGGCTAATGCAGTCACCCATCTAATGATTGGTAAGCTGCAATATGATATTTTTGGTTTAATATCGCTTTAAAATGCTGCCTTAATGCAGTGCATCTCAGCACAAGAAATGCATACATTAATGTCCTGTGAATGTGTAGATGGGCCCCAAGGCACCATGCCCCCACTAGATCCCTAGGTGGGCCACACTTCACTGGTCTCATTGCTCATTACTGGATATCTTACCTGACAAATACAAAATGATATAGCCAACATGGTTTGCAAGAAGAAAAAAAGCCAATTGCCTGGCAATCATGCGGTCAATACTTGGGGTCACTAACCCAGAATGAGGATAAACCATTATAACCTCCACAACCCAATAAGCACCTCCATATTCCAACCCATGCACCCCCTACACAGCTTACACCCCCAATTCAGCAGCCCACTCCTTCCCACAGTCTGCCCCCCATATTCCAACCCATTCACAGCTTACACCCCCAATTCAGCAACCCACCTATGTACAGACTAGGCCCCCATTCCCCAATACAGTAACCTGCTCACCCCACTACAGTATTCCACACAGTCTACAAGAGCCCACACCCCAATACAGAAGCCCATTCACCCCATACACAGCCTGCACCCCTGAATACAGAAGTCCCCACCAAAAACACAGCCTACAAGATCCCACACAGCCTGAACCCCCAATACAGAAGCCCATTCACCCCATACACAGCCTGCACCCCTGAATACAGATGTCCCCACCAAATACACAGCCTACAAACACATACAGCACCCCACAGTCCATACACAGCCTACAAGAGCCCACACAGCCTGCACCCCTGAATACAGCAACCCACTCACCCACCACACACCCTGCACCCACCACACAGCCTGCACCCCTCAATACAGCAACCCACTCACCCTGCACCCCTGAATACAGCAACCCACTCACCCTGCACCCCTGAATACAGCAACCCACTCACCCTGCACCCCTGAATACAGCAACCCACTCACCCTGCACCCCTGAATACAGCAACCCACTCACCCTGCACCCCTGAATACAGCAACCCACTCACCCCACACACAGCCTGCACCCCTCAAGCATGGGAGCAGTGCCACTAGAGGTGCCCTCAGGGGCAGAATCATTAGTGAACCACACATGGGCCCACCAGAGCAATCACTGAGCCCCCACACTCAAGACCCATAGGGTCACCCCCACTTACCAGGCTGCCCTCGCTCTTGCGGCTCCTTCCCATGGTCAGCGCTGCTCCCCCCACACTCCTCCGACATAAGGGATGAAAACTGCGAGATAAGAGCAAGACAGTGAGCTACACCAGCACCCCACACACCTACCTACACAGACCCACCCAGCACCCCCACACACCTACCTACACAGACCCACCCAGCAACCCCCACACACCTACCTACACAGACCCACCCAGCAACCCCACACACACCTACACAGACCCACCCAGCACCCCCACACACCTACCTACACAGACCCACCCAGCACCCCCACACACCTACCTACACAGACCCACCCAGCACCCCCCACACACCTACCTACACAGACCCACCCAGCAACCCCACACACCTACCTACACAGACCCACCCAGCAACCCCACACACCTACCTACACAGACCCACCCAGCAACCCCACACACCTACCTACACAGACCCACCCAGCACCCCCCCACACACCTACCTACACAGACCCACCCAGCAACCCCACACACCTACCTACACAGACCCACCCAGCAACCCCACACACACCTACACAGACCCACCCAGCACCCCCCACACACCTACCTACACAGACCCACCCAGCACCCCCACACACCTACCTACACAGACCCACCCAGCACCCCCACACACCTACCTACACAGACCCACCCAGCAACCCCACACACACCTACACAGACCCACCCAGCACCCCACACGTACCTACACAGACCGACCCAGCACCCCACACGTACCTACATAGACCGACCCAGCACCCCACACACCTACACAGACCCACCCAGCACCCCCACACACAGACCCACCCAGCACCCCCACACACAGACCCACCCAGCACCCCCACACACAGACCCACCCAGCACCCCCACACACACAGACCCACCCAGCACCCCCACACACAGACCTACACAGACCCACCCAGCACCCCCACACATACCTACCTACGCAGACCCACCCAGCACCCCCACACATACCTACATAGACCAACCCAGCACCCTACACACCTACCTACACAGACCCACCCAGCACCCCACACACCTACCTACATAGACCCACCCAGCACACGCACACATACCTACCTTTACAGAACCGGACAGCACCCCACACCTACCTACAACCACCCACTCACCTACCCGCCTACACAGAACCACCCGGCACCCCCCCACACCCGCCTACCTACACAGAACCACTCGGCACCCCGCACACCCGCCTACCTACACAGAACCACCCGGCACCCCCCACACCCGCCTACCTACACAGAACCACTCGGCACCCCGCACACCCGCCTACCTACACAGAACCACTCGGCACCCCCCGCACACCCGCCTACCTACACAGAACCACCCGGCAACCCCCGCACACCCGCCTACCTACACAGAACCACCCGGCACCCCCCACACCCGCCTACCTACACAGAACCACTCGGCACCCCGCACACCCACCTACCTACACAGAACCACTAGGCACCCCCCCCCACCTACCTACACAGAACCACTCGGCACCCCACACACAGAACCACCCAGCATCCCCCACACACCTACCTACACGGAACCACTCAGCATCCCCCACACACCTACCTACATGGAACCACTCAGCATCCCCCACACACCTACCTACACGGAACCACTCAGCATCCCCCACACACCTACCTACACGGAACCACTCAGCAGCATCCCCCACACACCTACCTACACGGAACCACTCAGCATCCCCCACACACCTACCTACCTACACAGAACCACTCAGCATCCCCCACACACCTACCTACCTACACAGAACCACTCACCATTCTTCACACACCTACCTACCTACACAGAACCACCCAGCATTCCCCACACCTACCTACCTTGTAGAACCACCCAGCATTCCCCACACCTACCTACCTTGTAGAACCACCCAGCATTCCCCACACCTACCTACACAGAACCACCCAGCATTCCCCACACCTACCTACACAGAACCACCCAGCATTCCCCACACCTACCTACACAGAACCACCCAGCATTCCCCACACCTACCTACACAGAGCCACCCAGCATTCCCCACACCTACCTACACAGAACCACCCAGCATTCCCCACACCTACCTACACAGAACCACCCAGCATTCCCCACACCTACCTACACAGAACCACCCAGCATTCCCCACACCTACCTACACAGAGCCACCCAGCATTCCCCACACCTACCTACACAGAGCCACCCAGCATCTCTCACACCTACCTACCTTGTAGAACCACCCGCCTACCGCTCTCCCCCATTCCCACTCACCTTTATCTAACCTCTCACTGACCAGCCTGCACCCCCTCCCCTGATCCCGGCCAGAAGCGGTGCACGTGACTGTACCTGCCGGCAGCCCCGCCCCCCTCCCGCACAGGTGTGCGGCGCTCCTGCTCATCAGTGAGTGCGGCGGGGCCGGGAGGAGGGAAGGGGGCCGCTGATTGTACCGATCCCAGCTGACTTCCACAAACACCATCTGCTCATTAATGCCAAGAGAAGAAATCAGATCGCTGAGATCCCCAATCCATTCTCAGGGCCCGACCATTGACTGCACCCCAGCGATCTGTACAATTCCGATCGCAGCGATACATTGCACCAATCCAGAGCCCTGATTAGGGGGCAGATCATATTTTCTATAAACGAGTAATGCTGGCCATACACACCAAATGCAATATACATCGTACCGATTGCACCAAATGGCCAGTTTAATAACAGATGATTATCTTCCAAGGAGGGTCAGTGCGGGCTGACAATGGCACCGAATTCCCCCAAACTGATCGTATTCTGTGTGGTGCCACTAAATGATTGTCAATGTATCTGTGATTGATCGACTATTGTAATGTGTATGGCTAGTATAGGGATTACAGTTCTATTTAAGCATCAATTTACATCTAGGCACAGTGGGAACACATCCATTCTGAACAGAACCGCAATGGCCCAAGTCCCTGGTCACACGGGGTGCGACTTGGGGGAGAATTACCTTCGCTTCCTGTCCCATAGCGAAATCAGGAAGTGAGAGTAAATCCCTACAAATTAAGGGAATTCTTTACCCCCCCCCCCCCCCCCCCCCCCCCCCCCCCAAGGTCCCCATTGGAAGATTTCCCTTCTATTCACTTTTCTGGGAACAATCCAGAATGGGATTCTCTTGGCCAGTTCACGCTACATGCATTTCAGTCACTTTTTTTCTGCATCCAATACGCACAGAAAGTAGGTTATATGGTTGTCAATGTCATAGTTCACATCAGTGCTTGTAGTTCCAGTACGCACATGTCCCTTTTTAAATTGAAGAAAAAAGGGGGGGGATTAACTGGAATACATCAAAAATGCACCGGAACGCATAAGAAAGCATCAAAAACGCACCAGAATTCGCATGCAGAAATGCATCTGTACTGCATTTCTATAGTGTAAAGCAGCCTTGCAGAGCTCCACCCAAAGTTCCACTTTAAGGACTGGCCTCCTGCTCCCCATGAGGAATTGGTACTTTTGGGAAGCCAGTACCCAATTTTAACATGTACCCGCTCCCACTTCTGCTCAGACTGCCTAGGGCGATCAGAAGCGGAAACTGTCCTCCCTCCCTCCTCACAGTCTTATGGGACACATGACAGGTGCAGCGCCAGGGCCGTGGATAAGGGGGTACCACCAGTCCTCCTGCACACAGCCAGCTGATATCCGGCTTCTTTTCCTCTCCCGCTGGCTTTCAGCTGCAGTGGAGAGAGCCATATAGGGGATTGGTTCCACTAATTGCACACGCGCACGCACGCACACACACACTACCCTCCCCATGCCAAATACGTTCCCCTGCTGCCTAGGCCCCTCACCCTTGCAATGCTGCTGGCTTCCCTTCTTTCCTTATCACCAACAGCTGCAGACACATTGTAAGCTGCAATAGGATCCTTCAGGATGGAGGAAGTGTCCAGTTACCAGCACCTTCCTTTCCTGAATGAACACAATGAGTGATCAGTACCCATCTCTCACTGTGTTCATTCATAACTGAAGCATAGTAAACTTTTTTTTTTGAGGAAGGGGGCCCTGTCAGGTTGGCTGTATAGGGCCCTGTGGTTTCTAACAGCAGCTCTGCGCAGTGCCACTCACGCATGTATAGTGGGCACCAGGCTATGAAGAAATAAGTTGTCACCGCCAGGTGCCCACACTTAAGATGTCGGTGCTGCAGAGACAGGATGGCCATGTGGACCCAGCTGGATAATAGGACAGGTGAGGGTCTGTTTTTTTTCATGCGATTTGCACAGGAATGCAGTGCGGTTCCTGTGCAAATCACGTGATGTGCCGCACCGCATCAGTGTGAACCAGGACTTAAGGTTAAAAAAAAAAAAAAAAAAAAAAACACAAAAAACTTCTAAAGTGCAGCTCCCCCCTTATACTTACCTCAGCATCATCTTGCTCCAGTGATGTGCATGAGAGCCGAGGCTTTCCCAGGTCACTCTCCCCTCACTGGCTCACACAGCAGCCAGAGTTATTGGCTGCTGTCAATCACAGCCAGTGAGCTAATGAGAAGAGAGTGGAGGGGAGGAGACAATGTCCATTCACAGAAGCTTGGCTTGGGAGTGAGCCTGCTCAAGTGTTCCCATAGCAAGAGGCTTGCTATTGGTGGCTATTGGCTGGGGGGAGGAGCCAAGACAGCCAGCGGGGGACTCAAAAAGAAGAGGATCGGGGCTGCTCTTTGCAAAACCAATACCCAGATCAGGCAAGTAGAATGCGTTTGTTATTAAAAGAAAAAAAAAAAATCAAACCTTTAGAATTATTTTAAATATCCCATGGCCATGTTAACATAAATCATAATTTGGATTGATTGAAACCGCAGATGTATGGAGTCATTATTATACAAAATTGTTAATAAATAATATCAACCACTTCCAGTCCGCCCTATAGCAGATATACTGCTACAGGGCAGCACGGGTGTGCAAAATCACGTATTGCGCTTCCAGGTAGGGGGCGCTCGTGCACACACTGCTTTGAATGGCTCCGCACAACACAGCCATCCAAAGCAGTGTGCTTACAGTGAAGCACAAAACACAGGGCCCCATAATAAAAAAATCCCAGCACACA